TGTTATGTACAGGGCTTGGTGCAGTTGACAAAAAAGTAAGCAGAATAAAAGCTACTTCTGGCTTTTGATCAAGATGGCAGAATCAACCACAAAGTCAACCAATTCACAACTATTAAGAGGCAATAAACTCCCAAGCTGGGGCTGCTAGAGCTCAGGGGAAGAGGAGGAGAGACCTACAGAGTTCATGAAGGCAGGTCATGATGAGAGAAAGAAGGGACTGCTCCAACCATTTCAAGCCCCAACCACTTCAAGTCTGGTCCTGGTGAGCACATGGAGCAAGAGCTGGCAAAAGCTGTAGCTGTGCCCATCATACAAAGTTGCTTGGAGGCTGCAAGGGAGAAGAGGGCCTTGGTGGCTCCCAGGCCAGAAAGACCATTAATAGGGTTCCTGTGGACCCACATAGGATTGAGGAGCCAAAGACAACTGAAAAAAGGAGCCCCTCAGAGGCCGGCAAGTCACTGCAAGGGACCAGCACATGGTCCATCCCATGGGAAGTGTCTGGAGTGCAGGCAGTGGGGGAGACAGGCCTATGGGGGGAACACTGGGGCACAACATGGACAGCTGATCTGCCCCTCAATCAGCAGAGAACCACTCAGTGGAGACTGGTCAGGAATATAGAACTGCAGGTCGTGCAGTTTACTGAAAAGACCCAGACCCAGACCAGAGTTTCCACACAATCCAGGTGTACCAGACCTCACAAGACCCAGAAGTTCTTATAAGGTCAACCATTAAAACCTGAGGTGCACAAAAAGCCTTCCCCAGGGAATCAGTAGCAAAGCAGCAATTTATCTCAACCACAGGGCTCAAGTGCTTTTCCCACAGGAAGTTCCTCCATTTTAGAAGTAACCAAAGGACAATAAATTAGTTCCAGTGCAGAGTTTAAGTGGTGGGAATAGCAAATAATCCAACACAGAACTGAAAGAAAAAACAAAAAACCCACAGAACAGACAAAGTTCTGATATTAACCAGCAAAGGTCTAACATCACCAAAGAAGACCTACAAAACCTAAAAGGACCGGAAGCCCCTTGGGCTCCCAAGCCAGGGTAGGTGGAGGCCTAGGGCCTCAGCTACACCCTTCCCGACATCTGCATCCAGCCCAGTGACGACCACCAAGCAACTGCTGGCAGCACCCCAGGATCCCTAGCCAGGGTGATGGGAGGACGAGGGCTTCAGCCACACTCCCCCAACCTCTGCATCCAACCCAGCAGTGAACACCAGGCTGCTGCTTGAAGCACACCAGGCTCCTGAGCCAGGGCAGTGGGGACCGAGGGCCGCAGCCATGACTCCCTGAAGTCCACATCTAGCTGAGCCATGACTGAGCTGCTGCCAGAAGCCCCCTGGGCTTCCCTGCCAGAATGAGGAGGTGTCATGGGCCTCAACAATGCCCCCCTCCTTTCTCTTCCTCCCGCTCTATCCCTCTCCCCCTTTCCCTCTCCCGCTCCTCCCAACTGCTCCATAACATCTTAGAACGTAAAAATAAATAATAATAATCAGTTTAAAAATTTTAAAAATTTTAAAAAATAAATAAAAGCTACTTCTAACCTTTTAGTTCTTATAGTCCAGTGTATTAGTCTGTTTCCTGTTGCTTATGACAGAGTACTTAAAACTGGGTAATGTGTAAAGAAAATGAAATTTATTTAGTAAAGTTTCAAGGGCTGGGAAGTCCAAGGTTGAGAGAGCATAGCTGGTGAGGGCCTTCTTGGTGGAGGCTCTGTGGAGAGTCCCTGGCAATGCCGGTTGTCACATGATGACAATGGCAAGAGCTTGAGCTCTTTCATGTGCTCTCCTTATAAAGCCACCAGTCCACACCCATGACAACCCATTAAACCATCAACCCATTACTCCATGAATAGGTTAATCCTAGAGGGTCTTCATGATCCAATCATCTCTCAAAGTCCCCTCCTTTAACATACCATAATTGGATTTCCCCCCCTCTTAACACTGTTTTTTTTTTTTTTCCTTTTTGTCTTTTTTTGTGTCCGGCAATGGATCGCAACCCTCAGTGTCACACCCGTACTGGACCGGAACTGGCAACGGGATCGCAACCCTCGGTGTCGTTGCCCACACCTCGCCCAGCCAGTGAGCGGGAACCGGTCTGTATGTGGGATCCAAACCCTCGGCGGGAGTGCTGCCGCACTCCCAAGCGGCGCACTGTAGCAGTGCGCCACTGGGCCGGCCCAACCCTCTTAACACTGTTATGACAGGGGTCAAGTTTCTAGTATACGAACTTTTGGGGGACACATTTGGCCAGCAGCATTCATAAAGAGAGTTCACAATAAAGTGCAATAAACACTTTGCTTGATAGGGGAAAAGGAAGTATAAGATATTACTGAGGACATATATCAGGAGCACAAAACTTATTTGGTGGGAACCAGAGGTAGATTCTTTGGAGGCAGTGACATAGAAGTGGAAACTTTAAGGATGAATAAGAATTATCCATGTGAAGAGGAAGGGTGAGAGAATATTTGAAGGGCTGGGGGAGTCAAGGCACATTTGAGGAACTGAAAGAACTTAAGATGTCTTAAGCACAGAGTGCAAAACAGTGAATGTGTGATGGGATAGGCAGGCCAGCTGCAAAGATCCTTAAATAATTTCACGTGTTTGGGCTTCATTATGAAGATAATGGGAAAAAATAAAGATTTAAGTGAGAGAAGAGATGTTTAGGATAAACAAACAAAACTTTGTGACTGATTAAGGTGAAAGTTGAGAAAGGAAAAGGGATAGAGGAAGACTATTAGGTGACCTGGGGTTTCCGGATGGCATTCACTTAAATATGGAAAAACAGTGGTATAAGAAACTTTGAAAGAAAAATGGTGATGAGTTTCATTTTGAACATTTTGAAAATGAGACATTTGTTGGGCATACCTACGCAATAGTTTCATTTTGAACATTTTGAAAATGAGACACTTGTTGGGCATACCTACGCAATAGAAAGCAAAACTTTTAAGCTGATATATATCTGTTCATATTGAAAATTTAATAAATAGAAAATTTTAAAGTTATGTAATGATGAGCAGAGGCCCTAAAGGTATCAATGCAACAGTCTCTTTCAATTACTATTACAGAATATGTACATATAGTAAAATTTTTTGTGTTGAATAGCAACGATTATTGAATAATCAAGGTGAGTTGCCATCACTAGAGATAGATGCTTAATGAACATTTGAAATCAAATTTCTTTGCAAATTAAGTTTCTCAAGATGAGTAAAATAGTGTAGGCTCTCATTAATTGGAGAAAAGCATGAATTTGTACTTCTTGAGAGCTTCAAATATGTCATAAAATACTAAAGATGTATATGATGTACGTATACATCATTTATCACACACACAGAGAATTTATTGCTAAAAGAGAGTTTTAAATTTGAGACCCAAATTTTACTTTACAGATGAGAAAACTCAGGCTTAGATATATATCTTACTACATTTTATGAAAATCGAATATATTCAGTAATTTACAAAATTCCCATTATTCCACTTCTAAAAGGTCTTATCTTTGAGGTGCTGTTTCCCAAGGATGTGTTAGCATACTACCAGTTGTATTAGTCCATTTTCTGTCACTTAGAATACCTGCAAGTGGGTAATTTATAAAGAAACAAACTTTATGTTTCACAGTTATGGAGACAGGGAAGTACAAGGTCAAGGGGCGCATCTGGTGAGGGCCTTCTTGGTGGGGACTCTCTGCAGAGCCCCAGTGTGGTGCAGGGTGTCACATGGCAAGAGGTCTGAGAGCAATTTAATGTGCTCACTTGCTCTCCTTAAAAAGCTACCGGTGCCACTCCTGTGATCACCCCTTTATCCGTTAACACATTACTCCTTGGATGGATTAATCCACTCATAAGAGCAGAGCCTTCACAATCCGATCACCTCCCAAAGGCCCCACCTTTCCAGAACTGTAGTCGGATTTCCCATCCTCTTAACACTTACAATGGTGATCAAACTTCAGTATGAGTTTTGGGGGGATATTCAAGCTACAGTGACAGTGATTTTTATGCTGTTTTATGGAGAATCCTGTGATTACACAGAGGGGTCTTAAAGATCAAAGCAAGGAGGGAAGGGAGATTGAGGGGGTAGTGAGCAGTGGAAATTGGGACCTCTTCTTCACCCTGGGCGGATCTGCTTTTATGCATTTCATATACTGGAATTCTGCTTAATTTTTGTTTGTTTGTTTTAAAGCATCCCTCTGCTAAATAAAAGTTGGTGAATCATTATAACTTCATTAGGATATAGGTGCTGTATTAAACAGGCTTTCTCCACAGTTTAGGATCTGGTTCCATCTGGACATTGTCTTCTTCTAATCCATTTCTTTTTAAACATTTGATGTCTTCTGATAAACCTCGTGGACTCTCTTCCCAGAAGAAATGACATAGGCACACAATTTTGCACCAAATTTATCAGGTTCATAAACTTCCTGAAATTCATTTACAGATCCTGGGTTAATAACACCAAATCTAAAAGCTTTATTTAGAAGACTTCAGAAACTTCTGGTTGTAAAAGAATAATTCAGGATTAATATTAGAGTGCATTTGGAAAAGATGGTTATTTTTTAGTACAATATAACTTATAGGGCCAGTTTTTCCTGCCTGGTGAAGATTTGGAAAAGATGGTTATTTTTTAGTACAATATAACTTATAGGGCCAGTTTTTCCTGCCTGGTGAAGAAAACAAAATGTAGTTTCCACCGAACTTCAAGAATTATACATACTTCTCCTGGTCATGCTGTTCTTCTGATTCATTAATTTATTCAACAGATATTTATCCAGAATGGGAAAACACTGCACTAGAGCAAATGTAAGTGAATGGTTTACAATACTTGCTTTAAGAGCCATCTATTCTTGAGGATATGAGTAATTTTGATACTTAGCAAATTTTACTACTCAACCTCTTTGCACTAATTCTTAGCACATATGTGCACATGTGCACACAAGTATGCAGATGCACATGTGTGCACTCCCCCACACACTTTCTTTACTCTCCACTGGATTAAGTATCCTTTTGACTTACCTGGGGCCAGAACAGGCCTGGATGACTGAGACCTGGGCTGTCCACCCAGCTGCTTCCAGCGAGGCATGTGTTGTATGGTTCAATCAGAGAACAGTAGGGATGTGCAGGGACACAAGGACTCTGGCACCAGGGGCTATGAATGGGGAAAAGGGTTGGTGGGATTTCCTTTTCTCTGTAAAAGAAAAAAGCCCAAAATGAACTCAAAAGGCATTTTATACAGTAGCATCAGTGTTGAAGGTGCAATTAAAGTGAAACATGTTTCAAGACCAAGAGAAAATGGCTTTTCTAGCCTTGTGGGCAGAACTTTTATTATAACATCAGAAACATCTCCCCACAAGTGAATAACAAATCTGAGCCTCTGTCCACAGCCAGCTCTTGATCCAAGATGGAATTCCCAGATGATGCACCTCTCTCCCCACCTAAGCGCTGATAAAGACATGGAGGTACGTCCACCTCTTCACCTCTCTGCAGCAGGCTCGCCTCTAGTAGCAGTACCAATGGCAAGAGAAATGTCTCTCCAGGGAGGGGGAGTCTCCTATGGGTCTTATTCAAAATAGGTTTTTAACCACTACTGAGTTATTTATTCATCACATATCTGTCACCCAGTCATTCCCACATGCGCAGTTACTAAAGTGTGGGAAGGACTCAATAAGACAAACAAAACAACTTTTACCTCGTGAGAAAGACTTTAGGTTGCTCCATCTGAAATTTTGAGGTATCTTTCTTAGGTTGATCTTGCTTTTCTTTAGTTATTGAAGTTGCAGATGTTGTCCTCTGAAACATGTGCCTTTGGAATGTTGGAGTTACTACTGAGGATCTGTCAAATTCTATGTCAGTCTCTAATTTCTCCCATGCTTGCTTCCAGTGAATAGGAGTGTACCAGGCAACAGCCTAATGAAAAGGATTCATTAATGTCAAATATTATTGGGGTTAGATAGATTTTTTTAAACGTCATAGACTTGCTGCAATGAAATTTATTTGTTCACATAAATTTTATTGTGCATATTTGAGGTTTATGACATGCTGTTATGGAATACAGACAGTAAAATGGCTACTATAGTAAAGCAAATTAACATCATCTCATAGTGCTTTTTATTTGGGACAAGAGTAGCTAACATCTAAAAAAAATCCTCAATACAATACAATTTTATTAACTATAGTCTTCATGTTGTACATTCTATCTCTAGACTTGCTTATCCTAATTATCTGCTACTTTGTATAATTTTACCTTTAACTCTCTCTCCATTTCTTCCTCCCTCCCTGCCCTTGGTAACCATAGCTTTAATCTCTATCTCTGTATATTTGACATTTTTTTTAGATTACACATATAAGTGAGACTGTGCTATTTTTCTGTGCCTGGCTTATTTCATTTAGCATAATGTCCTCAAGGTCCATCCATGTTGTGGCAAATGGCAGGATTCCCTTCTTTTTTCAAGGCTTGGTAATATTCTTCTGTGTGTGCATGTGTGTGCGTGTGTGTGTGTGTGTGTGTGTGTGTGTGTGTGTGTGTGTACCACATTTTATTATTCATCCACTGATGGACACGTAGATTGTTTCTGTATCTTGGCTCTTGTGAATAATGCTGCAATGAACATGAGAGTATAGATATCTTTAGGAGATGGTGATTTCATCTCCTTTGGACATACACCCAGAAGATAAATTACTGGATCATGTGCTAGTTCTATTTTTAATTTCTTTAGGAAAACTCAATTCTGTTTTTCATAATGGTTGAACCAATCTACCTACCTTCCCACCAACAGTGTGCTAGGGTTCCCTTTTCTCCACACTCTCACCAACATTTGTTATTTCTTGTCTTTTTTTTTTTTTTTTTTTTTTTAAAGATGACCGGTAAGGGGATCTTAACCCTTGACTTGGTGTTGTCAGCACCACGCTCAGCCAGTGAGCGAACCAGCCATCCCTATATGGGATCCGAACCCGGGGCCTTGGTGTTATCAGCACCGCACTCTCCCGAGTGAGCCACGGGCTGGCCCATTTCTTGTCTTTTTGATAATAGCTATCCTAATGGGTGTGGGGCGATATCTCATAGTGGTTTTAATTTGCATTTCCCTGATGATTAGTAATGTTGAGCATCTTTTCATATATCTTTGGCAATTTTTATATCTTCTCTGGAGAAATGTCTGTTTGGGTGCTTTGCCCATTCCTAATTGGGTTATTTGTTTTCTGCTATCGAGTTGTAAGGTTTCTTTATAAATTCTGATATTAACCCCTTATTAGATTGGATATTAACCCTTATTATTATAAATTTTGGGTATTAACCCTAAATATTTTTTTCCCAGTTTGTAGATTGCTGTTTCAATTTGTTGATTGTTCCCCTTGCTGTGCAGAAGCTTTTTAGTTTGATGTAGTTCCATTTATCTATTTTCATTTTTGTAGCCTGGACTTTTGGAGCGATATCCAAAAAATCATTGCCAAGGTCAGTGTCAAGGAGCTTTTCCCCTATGTTCTCTTCTAGGAGTTTTATGGTTTCAGGTCTTACATTTAGGTATTTTACCAATTCTGTGTTGATTTTTGTATATGGTGTAAGATAAGGTACAATATAATTTAAAAATCAAACTGTATAGTGTCACTTAGGTAAGTGGATTAGAGAACCACATGATGAGGATGTAATAAGAGATCCTGGCCCGAGTTTTCAGTTCCGAAAACTGCAAGCTGCAAAATCTCAGACAGGTTAGTCCCTTATTGTTTTGGATGATGTCCTCATATGTAAAATAGGGAGGGCGGTGGTGGGGAATTGCTTTATAAGGATGTTGTGAAGTTAAGTTAAGCTACTAAATTTAATAACTATAAAGAACTGTGCAAAAAGTAATTGTAATACTAAAAAGTAAAACTTTTTAACATTGAAGTCTGTATAAATCCATATAAATTTGTATCTTATTTGAGATGGGAGAATGGACAGTAGAACTAGAGACATGGAGAAGAAAACCTGCTCTCCAGGCTAGAATCCCAGGTGCGATTATTAGGGGGACCCGTGAGACTGAAGCTGGATTTACTTTGGTTTCCTGAATATGTGACATGTACACAACATATATATGCAAAAATTATTCAGGAAGATATAATCACAGGCACAGTTATATCTTTTGTCAACATGAGAAAATTAAGCACCAAAGTGTGCCTTAACATTCTACTCATTCTCGTGATCTGTTTTCAGTTTATAAAATTAGAAGTTTGGGCTTTTAAGCTGTAACCATGGAAAGCCCCCTGCTTGGCTTGACAAATTAAATAGACGTAAAGACAACCCAGGGCAACTTCTGCTAGGCTCGGCCTACAGCAGACAAAGTGAAAGATGAAATCTTTTTTAAAAGTTCATTTTCACGGGTAACAGGCAAGAAAAACCCACCTTTCCTGCAAATCATCAGTTAGGGATCCTCCTTTTTTAGAACATAAATAACACCTTTCCTGCAAATCATCAGTGAGGGATCCTCCTTTTTTAGAACATAACCATTTACATCGAAAATATGTTCATGATCTTTTTAGTGTGATCTCCCTTAATTAGATTGTATGCCTTTCCTAGACCGGAGCAATATTTTATTTCTCCCTCTATTGTAGTGACTTAAAAATATTTGATAACAATGATGATAATGTGATAAAGTTTAATCTCACCTCTAGAATGTTGGTAATATGAACTTTGTACACTTTCTGATAAAATAGAAAATTTAGTTTTGTTATTTTACCAATCATGTGACTTTGAACAAGCCACTTCGCTCTCCATGCCCCATTTTCTTCCTCTGTGAATACTTAAACATTACTGAGAAGTGAGTTAGATAATGCATATGTAAGGAACCCTTCAGTGAGCACCTACTGTACAGGAGTGGTCAGTTCCATACCTGGATCTCAAATGCAAAACAATGTACTGGGAAAGTACCAGGCACTGAATAAATATGACGTCTATTTTGGGGGGCATGTAATATAGAGGCTACAAGTCCTTTAGGACAACAATGTGACTGTTGAAAAAATCTAGCCCTGTTTAAAAAATCCATAGACTCAGAATCTTAGGGATTACATTGTACAATCTCTTATTTTATAGATGAGAAAATAGAATAATGATTACATTGTTAACTCATGACAGAGCAAAACTAAAATCCACCTTTATATTACACGGTAAGATTTGTAGCTATTTTGAATATTAATCATTGCTACATAAATTACAAGATGATGCAAAAAGCTGTCTAAGTCATTTTATTTTAGGTTTGCTTTTTTTTAATGACCCACAATGTGATTTCTCTTTGCCTCATTTTTTTAAAAAAAGTATTCAAGTCCAGAAATAGGATCTATTCTGATCTGTGTAACTGGCTATTGTTTTAGGCAGAAGATTGAAAGCCTTGTGACTTTCTTCCATAAGATATGAATTATTTTCTATATACAAATTATATAAATAGAAAGAAATTCCAGGGTCATGGTGAAACCTTGGGTCTGTCTGTGTTTTAGCATGTCAGTGGGAATGCAGCAACCTGTCTTTTTAAGGAAAATCTACCTGACAATTGCAGAAAGTGAGGTCCAGATTCACTAAGGCAAGAATGGAAATGAATTTGTTAAAAAGAAAAAAGAACTCTGTGCTTACATTAGAGTGTCAAGTTGACTTAAAGTCACATATCAGCCTATGTAATGGAAATATTTTCTAGTTAAGTTAAATAATGCTTATTGCTTTACCATGGAGTGGGATAATCCAATGGAATGTTACTTAGGAAAAAACAAAAGGCTTCAGCTGAAGTCTGAAGGACAGGTAGGATTTAAAAAGTAAAAAGGGAGGAAAGACTCAATGGAGAGGCAAGGGCATGTGCAAAGGCCCTGTGGCTGGAAGGAGCAGTTGAGTACAGTAAAAGTAGTAAAAGAAGGCCCACGTGGTTAGAGCAGAGAGCACAGAGAAGCATGGGGAGAGGTGAGTTAGGGAGGCAGAAAGGGGCAAGATAATTGTGGTTCAGGTCAGCTGGGCAAACTTCCTTCCATCTACAGACTCAGAACAAGTGCCTCTCTTCTCTTTACCTGATGTTCTCCTCTATAGAGTTGATACCTCTGACCTAGGACACCATGCTCTGTTCACATGCTTCTATTAAAGTCTTGTTTTACTGTATTGCAATTATTTATGGTTACATATCAATTTCTACTAGTACACTTTGAGTTTCCTGAGGACAGAAATATTTATGCAATATTTATGTTCTTTTTTTCCAGCACCCAGCTCCATGCCTGACAGATACTGAATATATATAAATATTTTTCATATGAAGCAATTGATCAGGGTCAGTCTTTCACTAGCAAACACAATTATTTGTGCTTACATCATCCCACAGAAATGGTCTGATTCTATACGTGCAAAGTAGTTCAGAACTGCTGGGTAATAGGAACAGGAACAGTCTAAGGACAAAGTCCAATGCAGTTGCAGGGAATGACAGTTTACTAAAACGAGCATTCCAGGGGCCCAGGGACCTGATCTGGTTAAACACTCAGTGCCTGGAACAGTGCACATGCAAAGTAGAAATCACACACCTGTTTACAGAGTGGATAAACATGATGAAAGTTCTGAGATGAGAATGCCTTAATCCTAATCCAGGTTTTGCTAATGATTTCTTATGAGGCTGCTTTATTCTAATAAAATCACATAGCCTTATTTTCCTTATCAGTGAAAATTATCAGAAATATTACAAAATTTAGTTTGAGCCCACAAAGATATCTAAAGCTAAGTGAGTGAAGGCTGCTAAATTACATCTAATAACAATAGTTCTCACAGAAAGATATTAAATAGCTCTCAGTAAATTAGCCAAGTCTATCCTAAACAGAAAGTCAGCCTAAGAAACAGGTATAATGTAGCAAGAAAGAAACTCAGAGAGATTGATTTGATCAACATGTTGTGTGGGTTACTGATTATATGATACAGTAAGTTAGACTGCGGGTAAGAAAAAAGACTGATTTTTAAGAAAATTCTAAAGAATGGTTTTGAAAAAGGAATAAATAATTTTGTCATTGTAAAAAGAGATACCTTTAAACCTTACTGTGTGCACATGGGTACATATTTATGCTAATATTAAAGTAAGAAAAGGTAGAGTGAAAATACAAAATTGTCAGATATTGGGAGTGAATTACACAAAGCTATTACTAATACACTTAATTTTATAGTAAATAAAGTACAGTCGTTTCAAATTAAGACTATAAGCTCTTTTATTAGAATATTAGTCCCTTGAGAGTAGGTACTACATCTCAATTTGTGTTATATACCCAATACTTAGTACAGCCCTAAGAATAGCAAAGAATTTCAATAAATGTTTGAGAACTGAATAGAACAGAAAAGGCCAGTACGTAAGCTCGCTCTTCAGTCTAAATATGACAAATAAAATCCACCCTTGACTCTGAAATCTTAGCTATCTTCTTAGAAATATGGGGTATCAAAGTAATTTTTGTCCAGTTGTAAGTAGTTCTCTGGCACTTTGACATTGGGAAGGGGGTGCTGTTGATTTGCCTGGTGTGTTACAGTATTTAGTGATGATTCTATCCAAGCTTTTAAGAATAGAAAAATAATTGTGTGAGCTAAGAAGATAGCAGAAACATAAGGAGGGCTGTATGTTCTATTAAAACTATTGTTGAGAACCAGACACTAACTTCACCATTAGGCTTGCACAGGATTGTTGTACAATCTGGACTTGTTCTAAACCTGTTTTGTTCCTTCCAGAGAAAATCTGATGGTGGCTGATGCTTTGCTTCAGATGCTGCTGACCATACCTGTAATGAAATAGTTTGTTAATGACAAATGCCATTGGAGGTCAACATAAGTTTGTAAGTGTCAGAGGATTATTGCAACATAATCTTTCTGAATGGCTGAGGTTTTAAAATATAATGACTGTATAATATATAATATATAATGTCAAGCTACGTAACATCAAATAGCTACTGTACATGATTAAAAGGAAAGCACGAGAAAGAGGGAGAACCCTCCAGCATCAACAAATGACCTGCTCTCTAAGCAAACAATCTCTTTGCTTGTCTTTTAGGGATTATGTGTGCTTAGTTTTAGGAATTTAGGAATTTCATTAACAGTTAAATCATACAAACAAAAGGTATTGTACACCAAATTGAAGAAAGCTCTGGAAATTTAGTTATCAGTATTAATTTACATCCAGAAGATGGACAAAGTGGCACAATCACCCAACAATAAAAAATCGCATTTGATGTACAGATCGTGTAATGATGAGACCACTGGTGCTGAGCTACAGGCTGATGGGGTCAATGAGTTTTTCCTCTGCAATTCTGGCTCATAGTATTTATGTCTTCTACTCACGGTTACTGTGGAGTTGGCCTGCATTATGATATCTGGAAGGAATCGATACAATGCAACTGTTTGTCCTTTCACATTTTGCTGGAGAATATGATTTCCAATCTCCATTTCTTTGTCAAGGGAAGAGTTAATGAGCTTTATGTACAAGCCCTTGACATTCACTTCAGCTATTTTAATGTCTCCAAGAGAACTAGAAAATAAAACACAAAGATTATAAAGAGCATTCAGATAGAAGTATCTTTAGCTCACTTTAAGAACTTAATAACAGGTACGCTTTTGAAGGTGTTTCTAAATTGTATATTCTATTAGACAAGTTCTACATAGAATTTGTGTATTTTGTAACCTAAAGACAAATGGCTTGATCTCTTAGTTCTGTTTCTTTATCTGTGTACTAAAAATATCTATTTCACATAAAATAATTAAAGAAAATCTAAAAAGTGCTTTAGGTGTCAAGGTACAAATGCCATAGGAAGGTGTAATTATAATTATTTTAATTTCCTAGCCAACTATTAAGAAGTGAAATTCTTAAAAGTAGATCACGAGACAAGTTAAATCATTTAGTTTATTTCTGTTAATGTGTGAAGATGAATAGTAAATAAGTGATTAAAAGAGTGTTGAAAAGTGAAAACGTTATACGAACCTAAAATGGTATTTTTTTTTTTTATCCTCTACCTTGTGCTGAGAGCTTAGTATGTTCCAGAAACCGGGCTAATCATTCATATATCAGCACTTTTCAGAATGTGGGTCACAACCTGATAGCAGGTTATGAAATCACTTTGGTGGGTTAGGACCAAGGTCTTAAAAATAGATATAACTCTACCAGTAATAATCACCAATAGTACTTACATGCCAGACACTTAAAAATATATATCTCTTTCTCTGTTTCTATCTCTATATCTCCAGTTTCTTATCCCTATTTCCAAAATCTGAAAATCTCTTATAACCCCCCCAATTTTTTCAACCAGACCAGAAACTGAGGTGAGGCTATTTACAGTCTTCATTTGTTTTTGTGTGAATATTTGTATGTTTTTCTGTGGAAAGATTAATGTTTGATTTTTGATACTTCTCTAAGCCCTGATGGGGTGTTATGCAATATGTGTTCTAGGTACCATATTACTTTCATAAAATTCCACAAATTTTGAATTTGGAATATTTTGATAAAGGCATTGTGGGCTCGTAGTAACTCATTTAATTCTCACAATAACACAAATATTTCTCCTTAAAATATTTCTACATATTTCTTATTGAAGGTCACAGTCAAAAAAAAAAAAATGCAAGGAGCACTGTATTATCTCATTTTATTCTCACAACCCAATGACACGGATACTAGTTTCAGTTCCATTTTATAGATTAGAAAACAGGTTTAGAGAGATTAATTCCCATGTCCAAGGTCACTCAATAAATGTTAGCACTTGTCCTCTGTCTCACTCAACTAATAAAATCTCAAAGAAGTTTGATCCAGCCACTCAACTTGTTTAAATCCTGTGCACATCCTGGTGGTTGAGCACTACTGGGAAATACACACACATCTGTAGATGGCTGCCACCAAAAAATCAGTGGTCTTCCACCACCCCTGGGCCTTTAGTGATTCCCTTATTGATTGGCAGCAAGTCATTGTCTTCATGAGCTGAGCCAGCACTTTCTGCTGCCCTCTCCATAATGTTGAGATCCCCGCCCTGGACTTCCATCCTCACCCTCGGCAAATGATCTCACTAAGAAAATACGGCCATCAGAGAGAACTGTATTTTCTGCTCCCCACTTAGAAGCAAGATCACCTATACCCACCTTTCCTCCGTTCCAGCCCAGCCCATTTCAGTGGAAGAGGGACCCTTCTCTTGTCTAAGGGGAAGCCCCCTTGTTTACCGCTGCCTCCTGCTGCTGCAGCATCTCAGTCGATTCATTATCCTCCCTTTCTCCAGTAACACAACCTCTCCCTCTAGACCGTCTCTATCCCCCAAATAGGTACATTTCCTCAAAGTGCTCCCACCTTGGAAAAGAAAAAGATAATCCTTCCCCAGCTTTTCATTTCATGCTGCCATCACAAGCCAGCTTTTGGAAGAACTGCGTCACTAATTTCTCACTTAGTCATTCCCCCACCGCCACCGCCTCCTGTGACAGACCCAGATGACCAAGCCCTCCATGGCTGGTAAGTTGAGTGGTGACGGTTCAGTCTTTGTCTTTATGTCTCTGCGGCATTTGCCTCTGCCAGACATGCCCTCGTTTTTGAAACTCCTCCCTTTGATTCCTGAAGTCCACCGTTTTGGTTCTATCAGTCTGTCTGCTCCTTCTCAGTCTCTTTTTCAGATTTCTCTTCCTTTCCCCATCTCTCAGATGTGGATCCCTGAGATTCTCTTTTATTCCCATCACACTCTGTATGTGTGACATTAAACATGAACAGGGCTTCAGTAACCTTAATACACTGATGGTTTCTAAAGCTCAATCTCTTGCCTAGACTTTCCAGCTGGGCTTCAGACCCACAGAAGCAAATGACCACAGAACCCAATGACCACAGAACCCCAAAGGTACCTCTGAACTCATCATTTGGCCTGTGGTAAGTTGACTGTTCAAGCTGGGAATCTATTCCAGTGAACTGCATCATTTACTCTGTTGGCCAAGCTCGAAACTTCCATGACTTTCCCTCTCTCCTATCCTTCATGCCTTCTCCATGACCAAGTTCTGGTGATTCTACCTCTTCAGGGTCTTGTGTATACGTCTCTTTCTTGCCATCCCTCTGGCTACTGTCTTTATTAGGCTCTCTTCATCTCTGTATGACACTGCAACAGCATGCTAACTGGTTTCTCCAGCCTTGCCCTCCCTAAACATTCTCCATTTTGCTTCCAGAGCAATCTTTGTACCATCCAAAGCCAACATTGCCACGTCCCTGCTGGAAATCCTCCAATATCTTTCCTTGAGAAAACACAAACTTTGCAGCATGGAAGCAGGGCCCTGTGTAATCTGTCTGCCTCTTTTTTCCTGCTACCTACCTCATGCTTAAACTGCAACCATGAAGAATTCCTTGCAAGAGCCCAATTCATGCTGCTTGCACGCTTTACTCACTGCCTCATACGTGCGATTCCCTATTCTTTTTGCCTACATCCTCATCAGCACTTCAAATTTTCAGACTTATAGAACAATTGAATAAACTACTTATTTGGTCACTCAGTTTTCCTCTTCAGTAAATTGCCTGTTCACATCATTGTGTTCACTTTTCTTTAGGCTTGTTTTGCATTTTCATAATTGATTTATAG